AGCACTATGTCGATGATCTCTTTGCCGATGGTGTAGTGTCCACGGGCATAATTGTTGGCAGCATCCTCCTTACCAGTGATCAGCTGCTCAGGGTGGAACAGCTGGCGGTAAATCCCACTGCGCACCTCATCTGCAGAGACAAAAATACTGAATCAGGTGTTGTTTACAATTTTCCAATATTTCACTTTTAATTTGCCTAAATTAATGTTCAGCCATAAGTGATGACACTTACCGATGACGGTGGGCTCCAGGTCGACAAAAACAGCTCTGGGGACGTGTTTTCCGGCTCCAGTCTCACTGAAGAAGGTGTTGTAGGAATCGTCTCCTCCACCGATGGTCTTGTCACTGGGCATCTGTCCGTCTGGCTGGATCCCATGTTCCAGGCAATAAAGCTCCCAGCAGGCATTGCCAATCTGGACACCAGCCTGACCGACGTGGATGGAGATACACTCACGCTGTGGAAAGAGAACACAAGAGAGGTTATTTACCTGTATGCATTGTTCACATGTGACACTGGGCAGAAAAAAATAAACACTGTCAATCTATTAGGTTTTTTTTTCGGAAATTGTTGGTGAAAGCATGTAACGGATTTAAAATATAACAACCAGTTATAAAACAACAGGAGATGAAGTTCCCCTTTGCGCCGCAGCGGCATATCAGGAGGCACTCAACAGTGTCCATTAATAACGACCAGCATGATTATTTAATGCCTTGCGCCATGCTGACATGTGCACTTAATCCATTTTGCCTCCGGACAGGCTTTCTCTGAGTGTGGGACATCTGAAGACGAGCATCCTCCCTGGCGGTATGTCACAGTGAATATCCCTGTAACGAGTGACGTGAGGCCTACTGCTCATAGGTGCTCAGAGAGAACAAAACACCCCCAGAGAGCCGGTGAGTGGGACCGAAGCCATCATTATTCATTCTGTCCACATTGCCAGCTTAACTGATGAAAACCTCTTTTGTTCAATCTGCCCACCACGTAACGTGAGCGAGCTGTTTCCCCATCCATAGCTCCGCCTTAACATCTCCCCACATCAAATCTTATATGATACGTTTAATGATTTAAAATGACTTATTTAAGAAAGGTACTTTAAGCCTTGTATGATGTCTCAAGCTTATTCCCGTTTTTCCATCAATGTTAATGTTCCCTCCCGCCCCCCTCCCATCACTAAAACAGATCTCAAATGTTTCTGTTTATAAAAGATGTGAAAATAGCTTACCATTTTGTTCTGTTGCAGTTGCTGTGGAAAATCTTACAGTTCGACAGTTATGGGGTCGATGTAAGATATAATGGCGTGCTTGAGGATGCACAGCGGTATATATACAAGTGCAGCGCCAGAGCCGGTGTCTGCTGTGTTTCTATTGGTCACTTCCCTGTCAGTCGGACGCTCCGAAGCCATCCGCGGCTTTCTATTGGATGAGCGTCTCTCTCGCTCCACAGACCACCTCCCCGACCACACCCGAATCCATTCATCGCCCAGTTATTGTGCAGCGCGTCTGAAGAAAAAATGATGCCTCATTTTCTGCATGCTGGTACCACACAGGCCCAGTTTGACATACATTAAACAGTTCGTTTGCATGTCCACATTACAAACAAATGAATGCATGCAGCATAACATAAGATAAAACTATCTTTGTGCATGTATTTATGATAGAACAGAGTAGAATATAATAGTCTGCAATTTGGGAATATAGATATCACTCTGTTGTTAGGGTTAGGGTTTGTAGGCCTTATACACTACACATGATTGATGTCTGAACACCTGTCAGTGCACAATCAACCAGGCAATGAGTCAGGTAATCCAAAATATGAATAGTAACCATCTGCTTCACTGCCCAACCATCCAAATCATGTTTAGCTTCCAAATATTGGAACGCTGGTACAGTGTGTTATTATCTGCCTAAAGACAAAAATTCAGATTTTTATTTTCAGTCACAGACAAAAGAGGTCAAACTATCCTGTCAGAGACGAGAGACATGTAGGCCACAGAGATCCACAGACGCCCAACCCCCCAGCCTCCCTCCTAAGATTTAACGTTGCTAGGAAATGAACAACATGGTTGCCTGGATACAGCCTAGTATCCAGACCGCCTTTATCTGGCAGTCACGTGTCTCAGCTTAAATGGCAGCATTACCGGGCTGCAGTGCAGCTGCCTCGGTGGGGGGATGTGAGGCGCATCAGCCATCTTTTTTTCCAAAGATCTTTCCGCCTGATGTCCTGTGTACGTTAGGAAACACACTTCCGCTGGCATATAAATGCATGTGTTCTCCCTTTCTCGTAAAACTGATGACAAAAATAAATAAATACAAATTATCTTGAGGATGATAGGGTGTGGTCTCTGCAAACTCAAGAGTCCTGGCTTCAATATGGGTCAGCTCTTTTGTTCAGACACATCAAGGCAGTTCTTTGTGAAACAGTAAAGTAAATGTGCGTAACAGCTCTGTTTGTGCTATACATTCAACTTTCAATGAGAAAGACAATAAATTGTTCTTCCGTGGACCTAAAGAAAAGAAGAGCAAACTAACAGACAGTTAAGCCATAGTTGCTAACAACAAAGGAAACTCTATGACAACAGTTGTCCCAGAGGCAGAAATGATGCCTCTTTGAATTTGGGGTGCCTTAAAATATCCCACTTTGATTATAGTCAAGAGAAGCTGATCTCTGTTTCAGTGCTTGCAAGCTACCTGCAGCCACAATCACAGTGAAATCATGTTTTTTCCCCTTCTTTTTGGTGAATAATTTTCAAGACGACCACTCAACCTGTGTTTTTATAGATATGCAATTGCGTTTTTGTCTGATGACTGATGCCTTTAAGTTTTAGGCATTGAGCCAGCTGATATGATGTATTCATTATGAAATAATGAGTCATTTTTAGAAAGAGCTACATGCCATATAGATTGAATTTGAAAGAATGCTGCGGCCAATTTAAATATTAATTAGCTTGTAAACATTTTGCTGTATAGTCAATTCTGCTAGGTCTTCCTCACTCATCACTTTAGATGCTAATTCAAATGGTTGACAGGTTTTTAAGGCTAGAAGTGGCTTGGTTTCCAACTTCTAAATATTTGTGCTATGTTAATTCATAACAAATATGATAATTTAAGTATCCAATTTTCTTTTATCTGACAGACCACTTTAGGTAACTTGCATATGCATTAAAACATTCAACATTGTTGTTGCAGATGGGAAATATGCTTTGTCACTTTGTTGGGTATCAATTCTCTCTTTGCTGGATGCAGTGCGGTCAGTTTCATGCTATTAAGGACCACTCCCATCTCCAGCATTCACATCCTCCCTCTCTCCACTTGGTGTGCAGTTGCTCAGACCTTCCCTGTTTCACAGCTGCTGGGGAGGAGTAGGGAGTGGAGAATGTTCTCTCAAGAAGTCCTGGCTGAGAGCCATGGCTGCTTCCTGTCCTTCTCTTTCATCCCCTGCAGTTCTCATTGAGTACAGCAAACACAAAAGCTGATTGTAGATTATACATATTCAATTCAATGCTGAATAAACAACGATAACTCCCACATTATGGTGGATCCTTTGACAAAAGCAAGTCTTGAGTCTGAAGGCGCTTATTATATTAGAAGCATTACGCAAGCTTATTTTCCTTCCCTGTAGGATTCCAGACAGCTTAACGGGCAGGGCTTTAATCTTGTAGAAGCCACACTGTGAGCAAGGACCTTATGCACATGAAGTGTTTCAGTGCAACCATTATGCCACATAAACTGCAACTCAGGCAATTTAATTTCCTCAAACAAGACCAGAGGAAGTATGCTCCAAAGTCAGTGCAGCTGAATGGCACACAGAGGGACGGGCTGACATGCTGCCACGTGATCAGCCCATGAATGACATCATTGCAGAGAATCTGGGACAAAGAGGGAGGGGAGCTGGCGAGCTGGCATGCCGGGCAAATAAAATGGCAGGCATGGATGCCCAGCTGATATGAGCTCGAGTGGAATGGAAGCATCTTGTGCAGCAGAAGTATTCAGCCATCTTGCATCATTTATAATGCATCGGTTGTGCAGGCGCAAGAATAGTCACAAAATTTGCTGAAATGCTTTGTATTGATTTGCAGTTTGCCACACCTACATCACAGATGTCCTTGCTCATTCCTCTGCCACCACATTGCCTCTGCATGCATAATAAATTGGCTTTGTTTGAACTAGTCCTTTGTCCATAACAATTACCTTTAATTTATCCATACAAACAATATGGGGAAATTACATTACAACCAGATACTGTATAAAACAGATTATTAAAAATAAAGTGCCATCACATTATAATTATGTTCGCATCAAATATACCCTGAAAATAATAGGCTGTATCTTATTGTAGTGCACTTTAAGTCCAGGTCTGACAATTTTGTTCAAATTTGAATACAAAATACAGAACAGATTGGTTTAAACTGCATCACCAAATGGAGGTAGTAAAACCTTTTTTTGTCCACAATGCACAGAAGCAAATCCCCCCCCTGCGTGTGGGCCTATAAATCCGGGAGCACCGCCCTCCCAGTCAGCAGTTGTTGCATCGACCCCGTTGGGTACAACACGCAACGCAAACCACACCGTCTTTAGAAAGCCCCTTTCTTCACATTTTCTCCGTCTGCTCTTCCTCCTTGAGCCTCAATCGAAATAAAAATGGTAAGTCTGTTTTTCTATTTGTCTGTCTGAAGTATCGTGAGGTACAGATGATCAGCAGCCGGTTTTTCTGCTGTTACATCACGTCATTAATGGGTCTCCATCTCTGGACGACCCTCTCCAATCGAACAACCACACCGATTTTTTTTTTTGCTATAATATCAAAATAGGTCGACTATATTTTTGGATGAAAGTGAACAGTGTAAGGTTGCTGTTGATTGATGCACGGATTGGTCAGCAGCCCTGGCACGGTGTGATTGTCATTGTGTATAGAGATGAGAACAATGCACCGACTGTCTGCATTCAAGCTTTAGTAACAAGACGCTCAGGTGGATAAATCTGGTGTTCTTTAGCAGCATTACTGTCTTTATATTTATATTATTGTCAAGTTTATCGCGAGAATACGCTAAAATTAAACACCTTGCAAATGCCCCGTCTGAAGGAAGGGAGGGGCCGATTGAGTCATAGATGATGTTTAATTCAAGTAAATGTTTTTAATCTCATTCATAAAAATAAAAAAATGTATCCAACACAAAAGCCTCTATTTTAAGCATGACATGAAATTAAAGGGTTAACTTAAAATAAGTCCTCAATCATTTCATTGTATCTAAACTGCTAATTTAATTATATGCAAATATAATATAAAATGTTGATATTGGGCAGATTATCTTCTTCAAGCATCTGCTGTGATTGTGCGTCATCAAGGCACAACAGCAAGTGGAATATTTCCAGCTGATGATGGGCAGGGGCAAATTAATTTGCATTTGTGCTGTGTGGAGGTAAAAAAGACAAGAGGACAAAATGTTCTGCAGAGGAGAAGAGCGTTCTGCCTCGTTGGAAGCTGCCTGCAGGCATTTCTGTCCCCTGCAGATTGTGGTGCAGGGAGGTGCCTCCTCCTGCACCGCCTGTGTATCTCAGAAAGGGGGAGCAAGTGAATGTTCACAATGTTGAGAAGCATGTATGTTGCAATTACTGTGGTAGATTTCATGTGAAAACCAGAAGCGTCAGAATGTAAATTAACGTGAAAACATCATTAAATGCATACAGGTAAACAACCTCTTGTTTTTGTTTTTTTCCACAGCGTGAGTGTATCTCCATCCACGTCGGTCAGGCTGGTGTCCAGATTGGCAATGCCTGCTGGGAGCTTTACTGCCTGGAGCATGGGATCCAGCCGGACGGACAGATGCCCAGTGACAAGACTCTCGGAGGAGGAGACGATTCCTACAACACCTTCTTCAGTGAGACTGGAGCCGGAAAACACGTCCCCAGAGCTGTTTTTGTCGACCTGGAGCCCACCGTCATCGGTAATCTCCAATTAAATATAGATGCCATAGTTAGCTTTTGATTATTTTTTTTAAGTCAAACCCTTTAGTCATTTCTGATCGACTCGGTCTCTTCAGATGAGGTGCGCAGTGGGAGTTACCGCCAGCTGTTCCACCCTGAGCAGCTGATCACTGGTAAGGAGGATGCTGCCAACAATTATGCCCGTGGACACTACACCATCGGCAAAGAAATCATCGACATGGTGCTGGACAGGATCCGCAAACTGGTGGGTAATATGATATCAGGAGGGATCCATGTCTCATTTTGATTTCAAATATTTAATTAAAAGACATAACTGTATCTCATATGTAATCACTGTCTCTGCCTCTCTTCCTTCAGTCGGACCAGTGCACCGGCCTTCAGGGCTTCCTGGTTTTCCACAGCTTTGGAGGTGGCACCGGCTCTGGTTTCAC